TGGGACAATCTACTTTGAGGTGCTGGACGGCGAAGCACTCCAGCCCCGAGCCGATCGCTGGGCAGAGATTATGCGCCTTCGGTCACATCCGGATAATACTTCCCAGAGCAAAGAGTGTGTCGTAGATCATGATGGCGAATTAGCCCCTGTGGTACCTCGATTGAAGGCGCTCTCCAGCCACAACAAACCGAAATCTGGACCACGGGGTCCATTTCTTGAAATTTGCTCTAACGCGACTGGCATAGGTCTAGGACGTAGGATGGCTTTCGCTCGATCGCGATCGCATGGCAACGGGCTGGCGTTCGGTGCTGTCTTAGTGCCATGGCAGGCAATTCCAAATCATCGCGCCGGAGTCCCGTGGTCCCAACACGCGCGTTTTTTCGGGGCGGCAAGACTACAATTTGATTCGAAAGATCGCTCCGCTATCGCCTCCCGTCCCCATATTCTGGGTCGTGACGGTTTCTTGCGCTTCAGTCTTTGTGACCAACTCTTGCGTCAAGCTTTCTCGTGTTAGTCGGTGTGTTGTCGTGCCTGCATCTACTTCTATTCTGACGCAGCCCTCACAGGGGAACGCGTGTGGATCTCTAGGGCTAGGAAATGCTTATCGATAATTGATCCCCGAGATCCCGAAGCGATCTATCAACCCTGGACCATCTGGGTCAATCACACTGGACGAAGAGTTGTGAACGTGAAATCCCGTCTCTAGAGCCGTTCTGGGAACTTCCCATGACTATCGATTGAACTCGCATCCCGGGATCTTAGGTCTGGGGGGTTTTATATTTTCCGATTACCCTAGCGTCACGACAGCATTGCTGATGGCGTTTGGAGCTCCGAACCACTTGATCCGAGCTGGCATTCATTCCACCATACTTTTACGGGAAGACGGTTCAGCCAGAAAAATAGTATCTTGCACTGCGAATCGCTCTGATTGGTGGGCCTGGATATCAACAAGTTATGTAGCTGCTGTTCAACATGACTTCGTTGGGCCATCGGAGACCCCCTACATAGCCTTGTTGTCCAATCCGCTTGCCACAGTTCTTCATCTCTGGCCGTGGATCCGTTCATGTCGCTCTCACCAATCACCATTGCCGGGGTACACTTATACCGACTCAGTCTATCCCACTCCGGATACTGTACCCAACTCGTCTTCGTCAGTAACTAGTACGTCGTTAGGTCGCAGGGGCTCTTGGGGTGACACTAGCTTAAGTTCCACCAGCTGCGATCTGGAAGGATCCAACTATTGATTCAGGATGAGCAAACTATAGCTGTAGTGTCCGTGGCCAGCGTAGTAAGAAAGGTCCCCGATTCATACCTCCTCTTCTCTCTATAAGAACTCAAGCTGCGGTTGTGGTCCATCCTGATCTCAACGTGTGCTCGGTCACTACGTCGATTTTCGATGACTGACATTTGGATCATCACCCAATCTTGAATGTGCTACCGGTTCAGTTCTGTGGGAGCATGTCCGACCCATTTGCGGACGTAACTGGATCCACTCCCAATGAAACCGAGACATAAATATCAGCTCTTGTCCCAACTACATCAAGAGGCCTGATGTCTGTCCCACCACACCCATTTTCCAGCCGAGGTTCGTGCCTGATACCGCTTGTGAGGATCTCAGGCAGCACCTCCCGTGCACCTCGGATGTTCTTCCCCAAGTTTCTGGGGAATATATTGCGGTAGGCGTGCACGGCAAATTTTGAACCGGAAACTGCTAAGTCTCATACTCTGATGGTCCTAGAGCTTTGATCAGCCGGCCCCTGTGCCAGAGTTTGCGGCCGATAACCCATACTCTGTGATGCCATAGCCGGTTAAATCTTTTCCCACTCCGCCTCATCGAGAAGACGCGGCGTACCAACTGGCTGAATACTAATGTCTGTAGATCTGTGATGGAACCCAGGCCCACGCAAACTCGTTGATCCCGGCAAAGGGCGCCGACGAGGACCAGACTCCGGCGGTCGAATCGCGCCGTAGCCACGACAAGGAACGATCACGACGACCACGCAGCGATAAGCAGGCAAGATCTAGACCTGCCATGTCCGCTGAGTGCACTGATCGACGGCATGCAGCACATCCCGGTTAGAGACATGCACGCCTGGGTACACCGTCCCGTCGAGAGGCGCCGCCAGGAGGCACTGCAACGGGATGGCAGGATCCCACGCCCGATGAACTAATTCTTACTCTATCGGTTGGCGTATAGTGATCGAGCGAAGCGCTGGCTTGCCCAGAGGGATCATCAGGCCATCTCCATCCTCACTGGACGAAGCTGGAAGCTGGGAGTCCCCCACATCCGGGAGAAGTGCTGGCGGTGATGGAGAAACGGAACCATACTAGAGCGCACCCGGGATATTGGTACTCGCCGTCAAACAAGAAGAAACGATCGCGAACCACAAGGGCCCGTTCTCAGGGATTGGCAGTGCTTTCAATGCCGTCCTCCACACCCGGTCAGAGCTCGCAGTCTAACGCTTGGTCTACCTCGTTGGATAGTGACCGCACCAGTGAACATTCAACCGGATCTTCTCATGCAGAAGAGGGGACCTTCACCAAGCGCAACGTATTGCATTCAAATGGCTGTAGCCCGCTGCAAAGTGCCGCCTCGGTTTGGTGGCAGTGAACGTCTTATCCCCAGCCAGCCACTTCCGAGCACGATCCCAAAGGCACCCAGCCTCAATTACCTATCGGAAAATTAAGGGTATATGAATCTGCTTGCTTTCTTCCTCAGCCTGCAGTCCCTGGACCCGAAGCTGTCCACTGTCGGTCTACTGCAGTGCCACTGCCTGTTCCGTATGAGATATAGAACGGTTACGGGGAATGGCCTAAGGACGAGAAGCTCCTGGCTGCGACTGCAGGCTATTCATTCGAAAGTATGGTTTTTGCAGCATATTAACACATATATTTGGGTATTCATGTTTATTGCCTCAGGTGGGAGGACCCCATGTATAATTATTTTCGTTATCTCGTATAGTGCGTGTAGAAGTGAGAGGCCAGTGTTTACGTAGTGAGCAATGACGCCCTGGGCGGGAGGGTAGGAGACCATGTGAGCGTCTAAGGCGATAACATCTCATTCCCCTGCAGGCAACTGGTTCACAGCGACCACGTGGAAAGGGGTAGCCCGGGGGTTGTAGGGGCAACAGATCTCCCCGGAAGACGGTCCCAGCTCCCTGGAACTGTTTGTGTGCTCCTGGGAGTCAGCATGTTGCCATTGAGAGCAACGCCGCTCCCCTGATTCTTGCCGCTCGTCACAGGAATGGGAAACCGTTTCCTGCCTTTTTGAGCATATGGAGATCACCTTGGCTGCTACCGAGCAGACTGTACAGCAGACTGGCTGGAGAAGGACATGATCTGCACTTCTATAATTCAAAATGACGGTGTATTGGCATGCCTAGCATTCTTTATGCGTGATTCTATCATACTAGGTCGCTACTGCGTGATTTGAGTCTGCCCCTCAGACCAGAGCATAATATAAATGATTGACAGATTAACCATTATGGACACAATGTCCCGACTAGATTCTTTCGGCTATGTGCTTAACTTCCCACCCATAGTCACGCTTTTGGCATCTGTGTACTGACCAACCAAGTCATTTGGTAACTCATGGACGAGCAGCGTCCACTACCTCCACTGGAGGAGATAAACACTCTGGGGTCAAGAGAGGCATTGCGGACCGACGAAAGGCTTGGCGGAGTTGCAACTGCAGCAGAAGGCTTCGCATTGGTTGCAGCCCCTGTCCGTCAGCAGCCAGAGGACACCAGTGCCACTGAGCCCGTCAAGAATCACCAAAACTACAATGTGTCTACAGGGGTATGTTGACGTTCCATTCTTCTCAGTCCTGCAGCGCAACAACCATAGCGAGCCAAGCGAACATTAGCTGATAGACGGAAATAGCGCAGGGTGGACCGAGCATGTGCGGAGTGCGTTCGTCGGAAAATCAAGGTGCGCGAAGCCACAGAGAAATGGGACTGATGGTAAAACGTTGGTCGACAGCGCGTTTGACTAACGTAATAAGCTAATAGTGTTCTCGCATCTGGCCCTGCGAGGCATGCCGGAGAAGTGGAAGTAATTGCGTTCCTCGATGGAATTGGATGGCAATGTCTAACAAGGTATATCCACATTCTACTATCTTCAACATCCATTGTGGCAGCCACCGTTCACTGACTGAGCATTATCTGATGGGGAGGTAGCAGGGCAAGAGGCACCCAGCTTGTGAGAGATTTTTCGTCGGAAAATCAAGGTGCGCGAAGCCACAAGGAACTGGGACTCATGAGAGACTGTTGGTCGACAGTGCTTTTGACTAACATAACGGGCTATTAGTGTTCTCGACCCTGGCCCTGCGAAGCGTGCCAGGAAAGCGGAAGTATTTGCGTTCCTCGGTCAGATCGACAGAGCGTGAACCATCGTACTATGATGTCTACCGAACCACGCACAGAGAAGTCGCCAGTCGGCAGGGTTTATCCAGACCAGCCCTCTAGTGACACCTCAAGAACGTATGAGGCTCACGCCAGTGCATCCATGGAGGGACACCGATGGAGCGTGTCCGATATGGGCCGCGCTTCAGATGTCGCCATCCCAAAAGACAGTGGTACTGAACGTGGCTCACCCACTACGTGTCCTGCAGACGTTACTGTTCGTGGAGAATGGAATGAGATTAGAGATGATGGGAACAGCATTTTCCCATACCAAATTGGCTACAATGCAGGCTGGGGACCCCCATCTAGCGCGACCACACTCCCCAACTCGTTTAAGTCCGCAAACCACTCGACCGGGAGCCCTACGGCAGATCCATGGCACTTGATGCCGTGGGCTAGTGAGCCATACTCGTGGGATACATTGCCCGCATCTTTCTGGGGTTGGACCTGGTCTCAATCCGAATATCTGACCGGGTCCGAGACCGACGGTTTCATTTCGTCTATTCCTGCACCGCAGGCGGCAGGGTGGCCCTTTGGAGGCGAGGCTGAACAGCCTCAGCATCCGAGCAGAAGCAGCGTCACGCACTTCTGGGGAGACGGCTCCCAAGTGCTCTACCATCCAAGTCTCTCCTTTGATCCACCGGAGCCTTTTCCCTCGTCTGATGCACTCGGGCTCTCTTCTATCCTACAAACTGCGCCACCGAGCTTCCCAAGATTTTCTCGCTTGCAGCATGTTGAGGACGGCAGCTTGGCGCTCCCGGCTGAGTCTCCAATGCTACCGCGTCCCTGGGATCCACTGGCGCCTGTTTCCGCAGCATTGCCCATGACAGACTTCCACCGCCGCAGCTTGCATCAACAACCATCTGCGCCCATCCCTGTTCGGAACATCGAGTGGACAGTACCCCCATGGCTACCGACTACGGTGAATTACCAGGGAACTGAAGTCATCCCGTTCGATAACGTTGGTGCCAACAGACAGGAGTCATCGTGTCATGTCACGGCGCCGGAAGGCCAGGTCGAGCATCGTCACTCGACCTCGGTATCCGGCTTCAATGCTCACAAGAAACGGGAACCGTTTGCGTAGTAGGAACGCCGAAATGTGCTTGTCTATATGTTTATGAATTATGATACAATGTCGTTCATGATAGGTTGGTGCTTTTTTACAACTGGTTCCCTAGATCACATTTTACTATGTATTACTGTAATATGTTAATGAACCAATACAACATCAGTGAATGAATCGCGGACGTTTGCTTCATACTTAGTTGCCACAACTGCAAATCATCTCGTCACACAGGACAGTTTCGTGGGGGCAGGCGCTCCTAATACTGTATCCCTGAATTGGATCCCGTGGAAACATTCTGTGTGATCAGCCGGCTGGAGTTTTGCCTTTGAACTCTTGTTACAGCAAATTGTCTATCCCTGAACGCATAACTGCACGGACGTTGAGGAGACTGTATTTTATTTTAGTTTATTTGCACTTCATATATTCGCTCCGCAGTGGAGTGTCTGAAGTTTTCCGTACAAGGGTCTGCAGAATTACTGGCTTGCTCCCACAGCTCATTCAAGTTCACGCGATGCTTCTGTACTATAGAACGGCATACGTGGCGGTTGGACACAATCCCATTTTTACATTATAACCTTTGTCAGCATAATGTAGAGCTAGGGTAAGATGAAGTGGTGATTTTCTATAAGCCACCATGGTGAAAAGGCCGTCAAAATTTAAACCTGTCGGACAGAAGCAGAAGCTCGCTAAATACCCATTTACTGCTCCTATAGATTATCTTCCATGCACTCATATTTCTGATGCCTGGGCATGGGATTAGAAGGGCTAATAGGACCCAGCGTTTTCCAGACTTAACCTCGTGGTAACACGGGCAAATGCACGTGCCAGCCATATATTTGACCATCTCACCATCTCCAACTACAACAGGAGGGCTGCGGAGGTCAACCATCAAGAATGAAAGTATGTAGCATATAGCTGTTCCGGTGGCCCAAGGCCGACGCCGTAAAAATGCTTATAAGCCAACATCTCCCATCTCCCATCTCCCATCTCCCATCTGCCAGATCCAACTTCCGCTCCGTCAGAGACAATGCCTCCAGCCCTCTCAGACCTATATGAACAGGCCAGCCAAATCCAATCCGTTGAGTGTTACGGGATATTGGTTGCTGCCCTGCTGGGCGTCTGGCTGATCGCACGGTTGGCGTACCAGCTTGGTCGGTGGACTGTCCAACGCCACATCGCGGCCTCCATTGGACGGCGTCTCGGCCGCGAGTTGCCGTGGCTTCTCCAGACTATTGACATCGCCACCGCTCTCGAGGCGAGCTTGGTTGGGGTGCTCTTGGGCGCCAACATCGTCCTCCTACTCGTGTCCGCCCATTCCCTGCTTCATGGAGCCATTGTCATCGCCAGAGCGGATAAGCCGACTCCCTCGATGAGGCATGACTGGGTTCCCTTGCTGGTCAGTCACCACGCCGCCCCTCCATGATGATGACTGTAACCCGGGAGCGATACCACTAACCAGGGTTAGGCAGCTGCTGCCATTTTGATGATAATCCCTGTGACCTTGCATGTGGTCGTCCGACGGCACTGTCAGGTCGCCATGAGAATCCACTACCTTCTGGCGGTCACAGCAATGGTGGCCCTGGCGTATCATACGTGGACCAAGGATCAGAATCCCGCTGGCAAGTGGTTGGTGCTGGGGCCCAATGGATCTTGCTAAGTTTCGTTGCCGTCTCTCATGCAGTTTTCGTCCAACAACGCTGGAGTGCTGGACGGCCCACCGTAACCATACGTCCCTTTCAGGAGCTGCTTCGCATGGACATTACAGTGTCCCCCCATTGGCACATCCGGCCGGGGCAGTACGTATACCTCTGGTTGCCTCACGCAGGATTTCGCTCGTGCTTCCAACTCCAGCCCTTCTATGTCGCTTACTGGGATGATGCGCCCGGACCGCGCATCCTGTACGTTCTGACCCGACCACGAGCCTCCAGCCTCAGTACACGACTCTACCTCCGCGAATGGCTACACCAGCGTCGACAGCCTGCACTGTTGCTGGGGCCATACGGCCCATCGATCGACTTTTCTCTGTTTGGGACGATCGTGTTCATCGTAGAGGACATTGGCATGTTGCGAGTGCTTCCCTATATCCGCATGCTCGTCCAGGCGAGCGAGGAGCGGCGGGCCATGGTACGCAAGCTGAAAATCGTGTGGCAGATGCAAGACTTTGGTATGGCTGTCTCTTGATGCACTGCCTGATACTGCAGTTACTGACAAATCCTAGACCACCAATGCTGGCTGGGCGATTGGATGCAGGACCTGTTGGACCTCGACCGCAGTGAATTTAAGGTATGTGACAACCCTCTACGGCCAGACTTAATGCCGTCCTGACTGAGATAGATTCTTGAATTTCGGCTGTATTTCCTTAGAAAGAGGACTTCCGTTAACCTTGGCGACGGGTTCGGCGAACGAATTAAGCTGCGTCAAGGGCCACTGATGGCCAGGGAAGTCGTCCAAGGTCACCTGAGCAAGCGCCGCGGGAAGCTAGCCGTGGGCGGTAGGTTTGATTCCCTCCGATCGATATACGCGTGAACCTACAACCAATGTGAGAGGGGGAATTATGACAGGCCGCGTCGAACATGCACCCAAAGTCTAATGATTGTCTACCATAGTGTGCGCCCGTCAGTCCATTCGTCAACAAGTCCGGGATGCAGTTCAGCCACAGACGGGGGCAGAAATCAAACTTTTCGACTTCGATCTCGAGCCGTGTCACACCTGGGTGGCCTCTTGTCGCGACAACGAAGCCGTCACTAATCTTGCGCAAAGTGATCATCAGAAGTGGGTTGCCCCTCGCATTATTGAAGGTAATTTTCAAATGCAGTGAGTCCAAACATGCCTTGTAAGACGAGACACTTGTCTTTACGCGCAACCGATCCCATGTATGGCAGTGGCATCCATCGGTACGTCTCAGCTTCTCTCTCCAGCCCGATGTCTGGACATTCAGCTTGGACAATCACGGGTCTTGTGGTCTCTCGTCCATCTGTTGGTTGGTAGT